ACCTAAATCCAGGACCCAAGGTCTTAGAGCGGAAGACTGAGTAAGCCAGGCAACTGAATTACCCGTTTGAGCGACAAAGGCAATGGATGAAGAAGACTACTTACTGGCTTGATACTATAAGTATTCATCATAATCAGTACCTATGAGAGTTAAGGAGGGCTGAACCTGCATTGTAGAGGACTTAGAATGAAGATCAGAGTGATCAGCGTGAGCAATATTAGCAGCTCGGGTAGGTTGACCATGTAACTTAAAACATTTCTCTCTGGTATGCCCCCACTGATGACAGTAACTACACTTGGGTCGATTTCCTCTGCCACCTCGATCGCCTTGTTCTCTTTTAGTAAAAGTGTGGGACTGAGAAACAAGAACTAAAGAGTCACCAGGGGAATGCACTATAGTAAGGGAAGAAACACGAAGTAATCTGGCAAACACTTCATCAAGCGAAGACACAGTAGATCCAGAAAGGATTTGATCTCGAACAGGTGTAAGATTTGGACCTAGAGCTGCAAGTGTCAGGACCATAAAGAACTTGTCTCGTTGAGCCAAATCTTCTGTCGCAGATTTACCAACTGGTAACAACAGATTGAATTCTGTCTTAAGGGAGACCATCTTACCAAGGAAGTCCAACATATTCATATCCTGTTGTTTGAGATGAACTAAGTTGGACACAACAGAATATAAACATTGAATGTCATTTGTACAGAGAAGTTTAGCCTCACTCCAAATATCAACACAAGTGCGGTAAGATTTGTAAATAGGGTGGAGGGGGGATCAATAGTTTGCCATAACATACTACACAACATAGCATCAATTTTAGTCCAGGAAGACTTATCTGATATAACATCGATAGCCTTGGTGGTCAAGTGATCCTCTAGACCTTGACCCATACACCATAATTCGACAGAGGCAGCCTAGGATGAATAATTAGCAATCCCAATTAATCTCTCAGTGGTGATGGGAGGGAGACATAAAAAAGAATAACCACTTGCATGCGAGTGAGAGGCTGATGAAGGGGGATCCATGAAGAAGGTTAGAGTGTCTTGAAGCTGACAGAAAAGCATAAGCTCACACTTGCCAGAAAAACAAAACGCTCGTCGAAAAAACAGATCGGAGTAGAAGCTGACAAAAATACCTTGAAGGGTTTTATCGGCGAGGTGGAGAGGAACAAGATGCTGGTGGCAGTGAGAGCTCACGCTCGCTGAAAAAGCAGATTGGAGCAGAGGCTGACAGAAACACGATTGGCGCGTGAGGGCGCATGTAGTGACGACCGAGGATGAAACCACTTGGGTTATGACGACGATGAGAAGACGATTAGTCTGGTGTGATTAGACCAGATCCTGATTGTTGCCAGAGAACAGTCGTCGGAAAAAAAAATTCCCGAGAAAGAGAGAAGAAAAAAAAATTTGGAATTTCAGAAACCAAGCTCTGATACCATGTGAAGAAATACTTTGTTTTTACTTATTATTTCACAATGCAATGTACAATGAATTTATAGCAAAAACAAAAGACTAATCTAGGAAGTAAATTGTTACATTCCTATTATAACTGATCTAATTCTTAATAGCTTTGATCCTAACCTAATATAGAAGATAGTCTTTAATGAAGAAGATAGTCTTTAATGAGAATAATCATATTTCCTATTTTACACTTCAACAATATATGACGAAATATGGAATGCCTTTTATTGATTTCCTTAAATCTCTACTAGCTGAAATTAAGCAGTAATTAGAGTTTCAATCAATCAACTTAATTCAAGTGATTGATTTGAACAATTACAAGGATTTTTTTGTATTTATTACTTTCTTTTTTTACATTTACAAAGATGTATAAATTAGCAATTGTACAAGCTTACAATATACTGAATATACAAATTTCTCCTCTCTTTCTCTTTTCTTGGGCATACTCTGGCAATGTTATTGTCTTGAACTGCTTCTCTTTATCCTGCTCTTTGTCTCTGTCTCAATTCCTTACATGGTATCAGAGCACAACTAACAGCTTCTGCTTGCCTTTCAACTCAGCTTCTTTCTCTTTGTCACTGCAAACAATCAAAAAACACCATTACCCTTTAGCATGGAACTCAACCCAAATACAACTACAACAAACCCAGACGGCCCAACTAACAGCCCAATCACCATAGACAGCCCACACAGCTCCGACCCAAACAACCAATCTCTACCTGCTACAACCCAAGCCCAAACAATTCAAAATAGGCCTGACCTAGCCCGTTATCCATATGGAATGTTGGGTTACAACCCAGATTTTTTTACCATTCAAGGCCTGACCCAGCCTCTCTTAGAATACTGGGTTATAACCCAGATTCTATTCCCACATCGGGTTCGGATCCAAATCCCTACCCCTACCCTTTTCGAATTATTCCAGCCGCCGGGAACAATCGCCTTGAACCAGGCAATATTCTCTTCTCATCGGTCTCCGATGGACCTGAATTAGTCTTTATCAAATAAACCATAACTGGATTTGACAACCATGCCTCCTGGTCTCATGATTTCCGGCGAGCCTTCATCACCAAAGACAAAGATCCATTTCTTGATGAGGCTTTTCAAACCATCGCCGCAACCTCATCTTCAATGCCATTGGAATCGTTGCAATATGTTGGTCCGATCATGGATCAGCAATTGCCTTTCGTTAGAGGTTGCGACTAGGCTCCCACCAACAGAAATGGCTGCCGAAATCTGGGCTAACACCAAGGAGATGTATGGGAAGCTCAATCTTGCCAAAATTTTCACTCTCTGGCAGCGCCTCATCGAACTCAAGCAAGGGAACAACTCGGTCACCACTTATTTCAATCGGCTTTCTGCCGTTTGGAACGAGTTAGACGCTACCGAAGAAACACTTGAGGGGTCACTAGAAACACTCAATCAGTACCACAGAATGCAAGATCACGACCGATTGTCACATTTTTTGCTCAGATTAAATGACAGTTTTCTCTCTTTCAGGAAACAAGTACTGGCCATGTCTCCACCACCATTTCTTTACCGGAGTTTTCAACTGGCGATGCAAGATGAAAGCCAATGCTAGTTGAACTCCAACAGAACATTACTGGATTCAATGGCGTTGGCAGGGTTGAGAGAGAATGGGGATTCACAATGGCTATGGCACAATGAAGGTGAAAAACTTTCTCTTATATATGACGAGATGAAGGGCTCAAATTCAATCTTGAGATCTGACGGCCAGAAACTCATCATGTTTTTAAACGCATCTCACAGTTCCAATTGTGCCACATCACGCAATGGGTCAAACAGGTTAACTTCTTGGTCAAATAGGTTAACTGGATCTGGAAATGGGTCAAACGGGTCTGGATCAGGGTCAAACGGATCGGGAAATTCAAGATCCAATAAAAATCGATTATATTGTGATTATTGCAAAAGAAGAAATCATGATCAGGACCATTGTTGGAGATTACATGGTCGTCCGGATTCCAACAACAAGGACAGAAATGGTCATTCTTCTTCTTTCCAAGTTTCTCTTGGAAATCAGTCAGCACCTACTCTCAATCCGGAACAATATAATCAATTGCTCTAATCACTGAGCAATGCCCCATTGCTCCCACCGCATCTTACGTAGGTACCTCTTACTGTTTTAATGTACTCACAACTAATATATGGATTATTGATTCAGGGGCTAGTGATCACATTATTTGTCACCCAAATTTTTTTACCACTATTTCCACTACCTCATCCACTTCTATTTGTATGTTGAACGAAAATATCACCCCAGCTACTCATATAGGAGCCGTCCACTTATCTGCCACTTTATCACTTAAAAATGTGTTATGTGTTCTTGCATTTCATTTTAATCTCATCTCAGTATCCAAAATATGTGAAGACAATAGTTGCACTATAGAATTTTGTCCTAACACATGTAAATTTTAGGACCCTTCCACTAGGAAATTGATGGGCTTGGGTAAAGTCAATAGAGGTCTATACTATTGGGCACCTACTGAGTCTCTTAAAAGTTTTCCTACTTGTGGTCGAAATAAAATTTCCCATTGTAATACGATGATTAATAAAAATTCCTTTATTCTTCATCAGCGATTAGATCACACTGCAACTATCCCTCACCCTCAGTGTCCTATATGTCGATTGGCTAAACAAGCCCGCATTACTTTTCCGCATATCATTTCCACTACAACCCAACCTTTTGCTTTAATCCATCTTGATATTTGGGGGCCTTACCATACCCCAAATCATGATGGATCTAGATTTTTTCTCACTATTGTCGATGACTTTTCCCGGGGTACATGAACATTCCTCATGCAATCCAAATCTCAAACACTTACAGAATTTCTTGTCCATGGTCACCACCCAGTTTCGTATTTCTGTACAAAGAGTTAGAACCGACAATGCTAGGGAGTTCTTTAATTATAATTGTTCATCTCTATTTTTATCTCTTGGCATTCTGCATGAAAGCTCTTGCATATATACACCACAACAAAATGGGGTTGTCGAAAGAAAACACCATCATCTACTTGAAGTAGCCGTTGCCCTCAAACACCAAGCCCACATACCTGTTTCTTTTTGGGGGCGATTGTGTGATCACAACCTCATACCTAGTCAATCGCATGCCAACCAGAGTTCTTCATGGTAAGACTCCTTATGAGATACTGTTCAAGAAGCCACCAGCTTTTGACCACCTCCGAGTTTTTGGTTGCCTTTATTATGTTGCCACCCTTGGCTCCCATGACAAGTTTGGTACCCGGGCCACCCGCTGTATATTTATGGGATATCCTATGCTTCAGAAAGGTTACAGGCTATATGATCCAGTTGAAAACAAGTTCCTGACCTCTAGAGATGTTGTGTTTCATGAAGACACTTTTCCATTTGCCATAGATAACATTCTTGCAGGCGAACCAGCTGGGAGTAAGCCCCCTCAGGATCTTGGATTAATTCCTCATGAGTTCCTATGAATCAAATTTTAGAAATGTTAGTAGTCTGGTGAACATTTTAAAAATCTGACAATGAAAGGAGGTTTCTTGTTGCTACCTTTCTCCGCGATTTTCCCCTGATGCACCACTGCGATCATGTCGGCATTTCTGATAGTTGTCAAGCTATGTGCAACAACCACAGTTGTCCGATTTGTCATAATTTTATCCAGTGCATCTTGGACAATGCGTTCAGACTCAGCATCCAGGGCACTTGTAGCCTCATCAAGAAGAAGAATTCTTGGATTCTTTAAAATGGCCCTTGCAATTGCAATTCGTTGCTTTTGTCCACCAGATAGTTGAGTTCCATGCTCACCTCCCATTGTATCAAGCCCCTATTGACAAAAAGCTATCTCGTTAATTACTCTTTTGAAGCATTAATTAAATAAAAATAAAAATAAAAGGCAAAAGCCTTGACTAAGATGCTGTAAAGTGTCTAGTGGTAAATGTAGTTCAAGCAAACAGGTGGTAATTTTAATAACACTAGTTTTTACAGGAAGCTTTACCTGGGGTAGCTTGTCAATAAATTTTGCAGCATTAGCAAGCTCATTTGCTGTTCTAATCTCTTGATTAGTTGCATTTCCTTTCCCATATGCTATGTTCTCCTTTATACTGGTTGCAAATAGGATGGGTTCCTGACTAACTAGACCAATCTTCTCCCTTATCCATCTGAGCTGCAACTTCTTTAAATCAACACCATCTATAAGTACTTCACCAGCTTCAGGATCATAGAATCTCTCCAGAAGGCTGATAACTGTTGACTTGCCACTTCCACTTTGCCCAACTAAAGCTGCTGTTGTACCACTTGGAACATGCAATGAGAAGCCTTAAAAGATCTGCACCTCGGGTCTAGCAGGGTATCTAAAATAAATATCTTTCAGTTCAATATCACCCTCAATGTTGTCCAATGTTATCCCACTGGTGTCATATGGATCGATGCTTGGTTTGCGTTTTATTGTTTCAAACATCTTATATGCAGCAGCTTGTCCTGCTGCAAATGCATTCACACTGGGGGATGTCTGACCCAATGACCTGTTACAAAAGACCGCAACAAATGCTGAGATTGACCAATGATTATTTACAGGGTGAGATGTCATAATCACTTACAGTAATGACTATTTCTCCATTATATCCTTTCTCAATGATCAATTTGGATCCATACCATACGGCAAGTCCATAAGTGCCAAAGATAATGAGCATAAGTAAACCAAGTCCGATGCCTGAGGCCAGCCCTTGATGAGCGGTAGCAGCGTAAGCGACTTGGAGCTTCCTATTGTACTTTTCTATCGCTCGCTTCTCCCCGGTGAAGGATGCAACCTGGTTGAATTCAAAAATAAGTATGCAAGCTGTCATTTAGAGAAAAAAATTAAAAAACATTGTATAAACATAAACTAAGATGCATAATATTGATCAATGTATCTTACTGTTCTAATGGCTCCAACTGTTTGCTCCACAACATTTCCTGCATCTGCATACGCAATTTGTCCGCGGCTTGACATTTTGGACATCATCATTGACATGATTCCACCAACAATTACTACAGCAGGAATGCATGAAAGCAAAACGAGTGCTAGAAGCCATCCTTTTATAAAGGCAATTACAAAGCCTCCCAAAAATGTTGAGATAAGTTGTATAAACTTCCCCACTTGTTACAAACTTCTCCATTAGGATCACATTCAACAGAGCAAGAAAACAAAAGGGTTTCAATCAAGTATGAAATATAGATAATCGATTATATAATTGTTCTCAATGTTTATAGTTTTACCTTTTCTCCCATGGCTTCTTGAATAAGGATTGTATCTCCAGACATTCTCCCATTGACTTCTCCAGTTGATGTTTCAGTGTCAAAGAAGGCGATGTCTTTTCTCAATATTGTTTTCAAGTACAAACCTCGAATTCTAGCAGCCTGTCTTTCTCCAGTTACCATCCAACATGACACCTCTGCAATACACAACAAATGCTAACAATTATTTACAGGGATTAAGATCATCTCCTGATTTGAGATTTTATTTGAACATATACAATTATAATCGGTAATTATGGAAAGCATACATACAGTCATGAAATTCTTCAAAATTCAATTAAGTTTAGATCATAAAAGTTAAATTTTGTTTAATTGAAAAGCACGTGAAGAAAGGTAAGTTTCATATATGGTAAATTTAAAGCTCTTACTCATATAATTTATGATTGAATTTAAGCTAGATTCCATAAAAGTAGCAATCTAATAAATAAACTGATTTTGTCATTTTGATATAACATTAAAAAGAGTAAACGACTTTTTTCCACCTAAGGTTTGCCTTAATGACACTTTACCACCCAAAGTTGATATTTCGTTACGACCCAAAGTTTTAAAGCCGATTCTGGCCGATTATTGCCGCAAAAATTCTTTTTCTTCACCACCATTTGAACCTTCGGTCTTCTCTCTACAAAACCCTTTTCACTCCGGCACCTGATTTTTCGTCAATTTTGAACTACCACAAAGCTAAGGTTTCCTATTTCTTAGTTGATTTCCGACTGATTCCGGTGGCGAATATTCAATCGGTCACCATCATTCGATCCACTAACCTTCACGATACAAAACCTCTCTTACCTTGGCTTTTGGTAACTCGTTGAACTTCGATTAAGATCCACCAACTCTATTATACAAAACCCCTCTTACCTTGGCTTTTGGTAACTCGCTGAACTTCGATTAAGAAACTAAAGTGTATTTTGGATATTAACGAAACATAAATTTTAGGTGAAAAAATGGTATTTTGAAACTTTTTTAATGAGACGGTATTATCAAGGCACACCGTAGGTGGGAAAAATTCGTTTACTCCATTTAAAATGGGCCGAGAAGGCAAATGGTGGGTGATAGTAGGATGATGGTTGGTCACTTCATAAACATAGTTAAGTTTCATGCGTATGCTTAACTTAAAAGACAGTGCATTATTAAACTCCAATTACCCAGAAAAAAAGCTTAAACTTATGCAAAAATAAATTAAAAATTTAATGAAAAAAAAAAAAAAGAAAAGTCATCTGCACTTACGTAAAAATGAAGCTATGCCTGTGCCCACAGCCAAATACAGAAACTTTACTGCTATCTGAAAACCATAGGGCCAAAAATCCAAAATTTAGCATATATAATTTGCATCAAATAATCTTAATTTACAACATGGTAATTAAATATAATCTACTGAATATAATTCAGGATTAATGGTAACACATCTTCCGTANTTGTCTCAATATTGTTTTCAAGTACAAACCTCGAATTCTAGCAGCCTGTCTTTCTCCAGTTACCATCCAACATGACACCTCTGCAATACACAACAAATGCTAACAATTATTTACAGGGATTAAGATCATCTCCTGATTTGAGATTTTATTTGAACATCTACAATTATAATCGGTAATTATGAAGAGCATACACAAAGTCATGAAATTCTTCAAAATTCAATTAAGTTTAGATCATACAAGTTAAATTTTGTTTAATTGAAAAGCACGTGAAGAAAGGTAAGTTTCATATATGGTAAATTTAAAGCTCTTACTCATATAATTTATGATTGAATTTAAGCTAGATTCCATAAAAGTAGCAATCTAATAAATAAACTGATTTGGTCATTTTGATATAACATTTAAAAGAGTAAACGACTTTTTTCCCCCTAAGGTTTGCCTTAATGACACTTTACCGTCCAAAGTTGATATTTCGTTACTACCCAAAGTTTTGTAGCCAATTCTAGCCGATTATTACGGCAAAAATTCTTTTTCTTCACCACCATTTGAACCTTCGGTATTCTCTCTACAAAACCCTTCTCACTCCGGCACCTAATTTTTCGTCAATTTTCAACCATCACAAAGCTAGGGTTTCCTATTTCTTAGTTGATTTCCGACTGATTCTGGTGGTGAATATTCAATCGGTCACCACTATTCGATCCACTAACCTCCACGATACAAAACCTCTCTTACCTTGGCTTTTGGTAACTCACTGAAGCTCGACTAAGATCCACCGACTCCATTATACAAAACCTCTCTTACCTTGGCTTTTGGTAACTCGCTGAACTTCAACTAAGATCCATCAACTCTATTATACAAAAACCCTCTTACCTTAGCTTTTGGTAACTCGTTGAACTCCGATTAAGAAACTAAAGTGTATTTTGGATATTAATGGAACATAAACTTTAGGTGAAAAAATGGTATTTTGAAACTTTTTGAATGAGAAGGTGTTATCAAGGCACACCGTAGGTGGGAAAAATTCGTTTACTCCATTTAAAATGGGCCAAGAAGGCAAATGGTCGGTGATAATAGGATGATGGTTGGTTACTTCATAAACATTAGTTAAGTTTCATGTGTAAACTTAACTTAAAAGACTGTGCATTATTAAACTCGAACTACCCAGAAAAAAAGCTTAAACTTATGCAAAAATAAATTAAAAATTTATTGGAAAAAAAAAAAAAATCATCTGCACTTACGTAAAAATGAAGCTATGCCTGTGCCGACAGCCAAATACAGAAACTTTACTGCTATCTGAAAACCATAGGGCCAAAAATCCAAAATTTAGCATATATAATTTGCATCAAATAATCTTAATTTACAACATGGTAATTAAATATAATCTACTGAATATAATTCAGGATTAATGGTAACACATCTTCCGTAAAACAAAGGGTAAATACTGTATATTTAAACAGTTGAAAATACATAAATATGTATTTAATGAATATGCAAAGCTAGAGTAATCTTGAGTTCTTGACTGTTAAAAGTGGAAGAGTATAATATAGTGGGCAGCCTAATGAATTATTTTTTTTCAACTATAATATAGCCATTAAATGAAAGTTGAAATTTTCCTATTAAATGGACCCGTCTTCTTCTTCTAATTATAATTCAACACTACAGATGGCATTATTATGTGGTCCAGTAGAAAAACAGCGATGGAGAGAGAGCATGCAGTCCATCTAAATAGTAAATTCACAGATAACATCATAATTCATAAATAGGCGGCGGGAACGAGGGAGAAAAGTTTCGAAATAATCGATTTGAAGAATGAAAGCCAGGAAGGCCACCCACTAATTGGGTTGCTTACTTTGCAAAGTCAGTTATGACTTGTGATCATCGTCGCTCTCTCCATCTTTGAAAGTGTAGACAATGCCGTTTTTCATTTTTCCGCAGACCCCCTTGGATATTTTGTTTTCACTTTTGTGTCCTTTATCTTCCCACAGGGAACTCAAATGTTTATAATTCTTCTTCTTCTCCTTCTTCTCCTTCTTCTAATTATAATTCAACACTACAGATGGCGACTTATATTAATATAGTTGTCATTTTGAAATCGGGTTGTCAACCATTATTATTATCATTTCACTTTCACCTCCAAAAAGCTTAACCCAAATCTTGGATGCTATTCAACCATGTGTTCATAACCCTAGCTAGTCTCCTGTATTCACATGGATGCCCATGCCAATAATTTCCACCATTAAACTTTACTAGATTCACTTCTAATTTAAGAATCAATATTGCTTGAAAGTTAAGTCGGAATATATATATGTATATATACAAAGTGAAAGCAACTGTTTTGCTCTAATCACAACCCTAATTAAGTTCTGTTTTAAACAGGAAAAGAATCAGGCGGAAATGAAGGGAGCGTAAAGTGAATGTGAATTTGAATGGGGGAGTTCAGTTCAGTAGTTCACCCACCTTTGAAACTTCATGAACAACATTGGAACGATTGGTGGCGCCAAAGGAGTTGATGAGTTGGCCAAAAATAAGAGTCATGAACGACTGGCTGAGTCCATTAGCAATGGCAGAAGCGGTTCCCACCACCATCAAAACGATATCCTTTTTGTCAGCAAACGCAAACAACTTATAGAATGCCACCTTCTGTGTAGTCTCCTCCGATCCTTTCTTCTTATATCCATTCCCATTAACACTACCTGACGGTCCTCCACTTTCCGTCATTATTATTCTCTCCCAATAGATCAATATCCGTCAGCTCTCTGTGAATCAAACTGTTGAAGGTTGATGCTGTGCTGGAAGTATATTTTGCTGGAACCAAAAGTTTGAAGCTGTTTTTGATGCAACCAAAGTGACGTGCATGGTGCTGTTTTGAGTGCAGTAGTTTAGGCTTAAGTTGTCAACTTGTGTGTTAAATTTGACTTAGGTAACTCAGCTTATTTTGAGGTTTTGTGTCTCTAATGTGTAATGTAGTTGTTGGATTTTATGGATTAGCTGGGTTTGTGTAAAAGACTTACTGACAGTGGTTGTAACAGTAAGCAAAAGCATGTTATATTCAGTTCTTGTTTGTTAATGAAAGTAGATTAGTTCTCTTCAGTTCTCCTTTTCTTTGCACATCCGGCATAAGCTTAAACACCAACATGGTATCAGAGATGGATTAACAAACCATCATCTAACAAATTCACTCAAAAAAAAAAAAAAAAATCTTGAATCACCATCAAACTTCAACCCTCCGAACAACTCTGTCCAAAACAGCAACCTGGTTTCCATGGCAACTCAGTCGATTTCTCTCTCACCTCTAGTGTTTAATGGGGACCAATATCATATTTAGGCTATTAGAATGAGAGCCTATCTAAGAGGACACAGTATGTGGAAGAAGAAAAACAGCCACCGCAGCTTGGTCCAAACCCCACCCTGAATCAAATGAGGATGTATGAGGAAGAGATGTCAAAAGCTCCAAGAGCTCTATCTCATATACACTCTACAATAACAGACCTTGTATTTACAAGGATAATGGCGTGTGAAACTGCAAAGGAAGCTTGGGATAAACTGAGGGAGGAGTTCATGGGAAGTGATACAACCAGAAATATGCAAGTTATGAACTTGCGGAGAGAGTTCGAAATGCTAAGAATGCAAGAGGTAGGGAAAGTAAAAGAGTATGTAGACAGGCTTATGAGTGTGGTGAACAAGATTAGACTGTTGGGAGTTGAGATGAGTGACAAGATGATAGTTGAGAAAGTGTTAGTCAGCCTACCCAAAAGGTTTGAGTCCAAGATATCTTCCTTCGAAGATTCAAAGGACCTCTCCCAAATCAGCCTCACCGAATTGGTCCATGCCCTACAGGCTCAAGAACACAGAAGATTGATGAGACAAGAGGACTCCAATGAAGGTGCAATGATGGCTGCTCAAAAGGGATTGAATGTGCAGGGAAGCAATAGGAAGTATGCTGGAGATAAGAGAGGAAAAGAGAGAACTAGTGGACAGTGGGGAAAACCGAGTGGAGGAATGAATTATCCACCATGTTCCCACTGCAAAAAGAAGGGACATCCAGACAATAGGTGCTGGTTCAGACCTGGGATCCAATGTAAGAGGTGCAAACAGTTCAAGCACATTGAAAAAGTGTGCAAGAACAAAGGTGCACAACCATCACAGCAAGCACAAAATGCAAAAGACCAGCAGCAGGGTAGTGAACTTGAGCAGTTGTTTGTAGCGTCATGCTACTCTATGTAGACCAGTGATGATGTTTGGCTAATAGACAGTGGTTGTACCAACCACATGGCAGCAAAATTGTAGAATTTTGTCAGGATGGATAGAACCTATAGCTCTAAGGTCAAGGTTGGAAATGGTGACTATTTGGAGGAAAAAGAATTGGAGATGTGGCAGTCCAAACTCAAGCAGGTACCAAGATCATTTCAAGTGTTTTATTTGTCTATGAAATTGCACAAAATCTGTTAAGTGTAGGTCAAATGTTAGAGAAGAATTACACTTTACATTTTCAAAACCATGCTTGTGTAATAAAGGATTGTGAGGAAAATGAATTAACGAGTGTTAGGATGCTAGGAAAAAGCTTCCCAGTAGAGTGGAAAAAACCAGTGAATTTAGCACTAACCAGCAGGGTTGAAGAGTCTGATTTGTGGCAAAAAAGGTTTGGCCACTTTCACTATTTGGGAATTAAAGAACTCAAGACAAGAGACATGGTGCTGTATTTGCCTGAAATAGAGGAGAAAATGTCCTTATGCACAGCCTGCCAACTTGGCAAACTTAGCAGGCCATCATTCCCTTTGGATCAAGCCTGGAGAGTAAGTCACAAGCTGCAATTGATCCACACTAATGTGTGTGGTCCTATGAAGACTGAATCCTTAAATGGTAGCAGGTACTTTGTACTCTTTATTGATGATTACTCAAGGGTGGCTTGGGTGTATTTTCTGAAGTAGAAAAATGAGGTGGCTGCTGTGTTTAAGAAATTCAAGTTGCTGGTGGAGAATGAAGCTGGAACATTGATCAAAACCATAAGAAGCAACAACAGGATAGAATACACCTCAAATGAATTCCGCACAATCTGCAGTGTAGTTGGAATTCAGATCAATTCACAGTCCCGTACACCCCTCAGCAGAATGGTATCTGTGAGAGGAGAAACCGAACCATTATGGAAATGGCTAGGTGCATGATGACTGGGAAGAACCTTCCTAAAGTGTTCTAGGCTGAAGCTGTTAATACAGTAGTTTTCCTCCTGAATAGGCTGTCCACCAAGGTAGTCAAACATCAAACACCAATTGAGGCATGGAGTGGAGTCAAACCAGCTGTAGGGAGCTTGAAAGTATTTGGAAGTATAGCCTATGTAATGATCCCAGCAAGCAAAAGATCCAAATTGGAAGATAAGGCTGAAATTGGGATACTTATAGGCTACAACAGCAACTCTAAAGCCTGTAGAGTTTATATTCCTGAGTCTAGGAAGATTGTAATCACAAGAGATATAAAGGTTGATGAAGTGTAGTCTGGAACTAGGAAGAGAAGAGAATTGATGTGCAAGCTGAATCAAGATAGGAAGAGATGAATGAGGGGCTGATCCAAGAGGCAGATTTAGATGAGGAAGAAGAACATGCTGTTAGAGGGACAAGATCACTGGCTAATGTATACGAAAGGTGCAATGTGGCAGTGGTGGAACCAAGATGTTATCTTGAAGCTGCCAAGTCTGAATTGTGGAAAGCTGCAATGTAGGAGGAGCTCAGCATGATTGATAAAAACCAAACCTGGAAATTGGTACCAAGACCTGGAAAAAGGAAAGTAATTCAGGTAAAATGGATTTTCAAACTGAAAATCAATCTTGATGGCTCAATCTACAAGCACAAAGCAAGGCTGGTGGTCAAGGGCTTTGCACAGCAACCGGGTATTGACTTTTCAGAAACATTTGCCCCGATAACTAGGCAAGACACAATCAAGTTGCTGTTAGCACTTGCAGCTCAGTTTAACTGGAAAATTTTCTAGCTGGATGTCAAATCGGCATTCCTAAATGGGTGGATTTCAGAGGAGATTCTTGTGGAGCAACCAGAAGGCTACAAGGTTGAGGGCAAAGAGGATCATGTGTACCTGCTAAGGAAAGCTTTATATGGCTTGAAGTAGGCCCTTAGAGCCTAGTACAGCCGAATAAATGACCATTTGTGCAGCCTCAGTTACACTAGAAGTCCAAATGAACACACTCTCTACCTTAGGAAAACTGAAAGGGGATTGGCTGTGGTCTCTCTCTATGTTGATGACTTATTGGTGACTGGAAGCAATCCTGAAGAGTTGGACCAGTTTAAATCAACCATGCAAACTGAGTTTGAAATGACAGATTTAGGATTGATGAAATATTTCCTAGGCATGGAGATAAGTCAGACTGCAGGTGAGATTTTTGTGTGCCAACAGAGGTATGCAACCGAGATTCTCATGAAGTTTGGAATGGAGAATTGTAAACCAGTGGATACCCCACTGGTTCCCAACCTAAAACTGAGCAAAACTGATGGTGTAGAGAGGGTGGATGAAGGGAAATACAGGAGCTTGGTGGGAGGTTTGTTGTATTACACAGCCACCAGACCTGACCTTATGTTCACTGCAAGTTACCTTTCAAGGTTCATGAGCAACCCAATTGAACTGCACTTTAAGGCTGCTAAACGTGTGCTGAGGTATGTAAAAGGAACCATCATGTTAGGCATCTGTTTTAGGAAAGCCAAAAGTCTGAAATTCTTGGGGTATACTAATAGTGACAGGGGTGGATCCCTGGATGATGCAAAAAGCACCTTTGGTTATGTTTTCTACTTGAATCAGGGTGTAATTTGCTGGCTGTCAAGGAAGCAGGAGACTGTGGCACAGTCTACTGCTAAAGCTGAATATGTCTTTGCTACAGCAGTAGTGAACCAGGCTATATGGCTTAGGAAGATGCTGGATGATTTGCACCAAGTGCAGGGTGGTCCTACATTAATCATGTGTGATAACCAACTGGCTGTGGCCATGGAAAAGGACCTTGTACTCCACGATAGAACTAAGCATATCAAGATCAAATATCATGCAGTAAGGGAAGCTAAACAATGTGGTGAAGTGAGCTTAATGCACTATAGAGGAGAAGAACAAGTTGCTGACATTATGACAAAGGCTTTGTGCAAATCCAAGTTTGAAGCCCTAAGACTAGAACTTGGTGTTTCCAGCTAAAGCATCAAGGTTGATGCTGTGCTGGAAGTATATTTTGCTGGAACCAAAAGTTTGAAGCTGTTTTTGATGCAACCAAAGTGACGTGCATGGTGCTGTTTTGAGTGCAGTAGTTTAGGCTTAAGTTGTTAACTTGTGTGTTAAATTTGACTTAGGTAACTCAGCTTATTTTGAGGCTTTGTGTCTCTAATGTGTAATGTAGTCGTTGGATGGGTTTGTGTAAAAGTCTTATTGACAGTGGTTGTAATAGTAAGCAAAAAAATGTTATATTCAATTCTTGTTTGTTAATGAAAGTAGATTAGTTCTCTTCAGTTCTCCTTTTCTTTACACATCCGACATAAGCTTAAACACCAACACAAACAAACAAACACAAACATAAAGAATTCATGATCAAGATCTGTATCATATAAACACAAAACATAAAGAAAACATGATAAAGCGGAAAGAAAAGAAAATCGAATACCAGAAGGAGAGACAGAGCGAGGCTTCTAGCTATCAGTAAAAATGTGGTTTTTGTTACGTGAATAAGGGGAATTGATGTTGGTGTGTTTATATAAGTATAGATATATATAGACAGAGAGAGCGAGAGTTGTGAATGAATGTAAAGTGAGAGGAAATTCTACATTGGAGTTGTGAACTTGAATCTATCTTTCTCTGTTCTCACTACTTCTAGAATCTGATATTTTATTATTTTCCCTATTTTAACGTCGTCANACACGGGTCGTTTAATTGTAAAAGCCATTGAAACACACTGAAATAGAGATGAAAAAGTACAAAATCAAAATCTGATATCAAGTGATTATGTTGAATAGCAAGTTTTGTAATTTTGGGTAAAGCATAGCCCCTTTGCATTATCTCAATCAGCCTTAAGAGACTAACGCTAGCATCACTAAATATTATATGCCTCTTAACATTTAATGAAATAAGACTTGATCAACACAGGCAGGCTGCTTCAGCTTCTTGCGGTTCTCCCAGCTGCGTAAAAGCAAGCAAATTATGTTAGCAAGACCCAAATTTCAGAAGCAATTGATCGCTTCTTAACAAAGCCAAGAACCAATCAGTTTCTATTCAATCTAATATTTTTTCTTCTTTTCAGGAAATGAATTGATTGCTTCCTATTAGGACAAGCAAAGCCTGGAATATATAAACGAAAAAAGAAACATGGAAATGTACCTTCTAAAATAGTAGTAGAAAAAGTCAGCATAGAGGGCAGTCTGAATCAGGCCTGAAACCCAAGCTGTTTTCAGCATTTTGACAGACGTGCTCGTAAGTAATGATCTCCACAAGCGGAAGCACAAAGAAAACTTAAATATCCATCTGATTTTGTTCTCCGTGAAGAAACGATAAACCCAGTTGAGGATATGTAAAGCTCGATAAGCACTACATAGGAAATAAAACCCAAAAAAAAAAAAAAAGTATCACCACCAGTAATCCAATGGAAGGAAACCCCTAGAGAAAGGGAGCAAACCACACCAGAGAACATGATCAAATTCTGTAAAAAGCATAACAAAATTCTTCCAAATATAAAACTAATTTATGCACAAAAAGGGGAAAAGATGAACAACATCAAATGCTAAAAAAGTCTTGAAATTGGCTTGGGGGCATCTAGATGTACTGTGCAAAGAAATTAATCACCCAACCTTCATACGAAACAAATTTGTACAATTTAATTCCATAATGCTTTAATGAATCAAGTAGTTTAAAAGTAAATATCAGAATGTGGACTGTACTAAACACTACTTCTAAACAGTAACAACAATTGTTACTGCAACCAATACAAAAAAAGAAACAATTAATTAACAACAGAACCAGCATCATCTCAAATCATTGAGGAACTAGTTCCTCAACAGTCGGTATTGGCCTTCTGCTCTAAAACATTCTGCCACTAAATACTCATCTATAAACTTGCATCTATGAATTTCTTTTTCCAACCTTAATTTCCCTTTTCAATTATTACTTACTGTATTAACGTGAATTATTGCTGCATAAAAAATGTGCAATCAAGAGTAAACTGGTTTATGCCAGTACCCTGCCATGGACCCATTCACTTTCTTATGGTATGAATGATTACGACCAATCTAGTTCAGCCATCTTGGGATCCTCTTCCAGCAATACTGATATGAATACAATTTTCTTTTGTTGACATAACATGTTTTGAGAAACACAGGAAGCACTTTTAGTGTCCCAACCGTAATAAAAACCAGAACCACTTCTCATACCACAAGAAAGAGCAAAAGGAAAATGAAATATATTGGCCTACTTTACTACATCGTACAATAATAATAGATTGTGTATATATTACTTTTTTATTAGAAGTGTTTCCATATAATTGAGGCATTAAAAATATTTTGGGTTATTCCAGCCCAGCGCAAATCATTTTCACAGATTCTATCAATCTTTAGGATATAGAGACAAAGAAAAGGGTTCTATGGAAATATTTTGTTTTGGACTTTTGAGGAAGATCTGGGAAGAAGTTATAGAAACCTTTCAAGACACTCACTTTCCAGTGCTTAAAATTGGAATGACATTGTAGATTTTGGATGGCTGTGATACTTACAGAGTAGCCATCAAGGCATTTGATTTGATTGATTAGTTCTGGAACTGTGGCCAAGTTGAAACCAGTTTTTAACAGTTTGTTAAACCTAAAAGCAGTTACATCACAGAAACATTCATCTACATACAATTTTGAGGGCTGAACAGTAATTGGAACAAATGGAACAATATGATCAATGGGATGAAAGAAAATAAGCAGCTTTGGGAACATATAATGGCTTACCCAAGAAGGAAAACATAGTCTTACGTTGTCAATATTGCTTGACCTTTGCAGCAATACCAGTTGGGGCAAGATGGCAACTGCTTCAAGATAGATTGAGAAACTCCACAAAATCTGTCAAAACAGGGTGGGTTTTCCATCAGAAATCAAACCTATTTACTAAATAAAAAGGTAATTTACTATGAAACTGTAGTTGAATCTTACTTTCAAGCAAAATAGATTCATACCAAAACCCAATTTAAAGGATTATATAGCTACCAAATAAAAAGTTGACAAGAATATGACCAAAAGACAAATTGTACCAGAAATGAAAAATTCAGAATTATTTACATTATGAAGACCTCTTTCCCAAGCAAACTGAATAATGAGAACAGAAGCAAAACCTGACTTTCCTACTAGAAGTTATTAAGCAACAAAAACTTGCCTAGAATAGCAAAAATGCGATTTTAAAGGTTTAAACAGTAGAATTTAAATGAAACATAATGAACCTCACATAAAATCTATGATTTTACCTTGCTATGGAGACTAATCCAATGATAATTTACATGCTCATATTTAGACAAGTGACCTCTCTTTGTGACCAAGCGAGCATCAATTCCCACATTGTGGTGACTCTACACTATATTACAAATTCTTAGATTATATAGAGAACCAAAAGTAGAAGAACATCACTACACGCAGTAGATACCACCACATGAATCAGTGGGGTTCATGATATATAGTCATTCATTCTGATAGATAAAGGAATCATTGGGAGTGTTGAGGCAATTATGCGAATTCTAGATACTACGTCATGAAGAAATTACACCTAGAGCAGCAAATGAAACCAGTTGTTTTCATCCTGGATAAACAACTCCTAATCAGTGATTAGATAAAACTCATATCTAGAGCTCATTTAGAAACGAGATAATAAGTTCCTATATTGTAAAGGAGATAATAAGTGCCTTCATAACTGTAGGAGATGATAAGCTCCTTGAGGTATTAATAGGAGAAGACTAAGAAACAACTCCTATAATATAGCTCCTCTGTACTTTACCTGTTCAAAAAGAACATTAAAATTTTCTATTTTCTATTCTATAAATCAACAATAGGTATTTGAGTTATAAAAGCAACATGGAGAACATATAAGATTTTAAAAAATTAGAAATCAGCCAAAGGACAGAACATGTGAAAATAATCATCAATCTGTACTTGAGAAAAAATGCAATTGGAGGATGAACCAGCTTTCACATGAAGTCTTTTATGGTGACTGATATTATTATTCTATATATTTATAGTTATATCTATATGTAGCAAATATCAAGTTAGTCTCCGAAATTTCAGTTTCCAGAGGGGACTAAAAACACCAAAACCTAACATTTTAGTCACTTGAAAATGAAATATTGTTGAACTATTTACATGTAGAAGCATTCCAGTGTAAAATTTCTAATATGGCATAAAATGTGAAAGTTCAAGCATATATGATTCAGACTAGTGAATTACGACAGCATAAACTACAGAAAATTGCACGTGCTTTATCATGCCTAACCATGGATTCATTTTGATTGTCAATAAGAATTGCTTTCACTTTGCACAGTTTAAATAGGTCATTTTCTTTAGCCAAAAATCCATTGAATGGGAAACAAAGAAGAAGAAGACAAGAAAGTTTCATAACTCAATAGTATTATACTCGTGGGGAATCAACAAGGCCAAAACAAAACATGGGAGAATCAGGAAATAATGTCTAAAGGTTTCTTCATCCTTGTTATATGTTTGCTTCACAACTTTATGGTACCGCATATACCAAACAATAGCGATTGAAGTTCCAAGAAGGACTAGCTTCATTACAGAGTTGTAGAATGAGATGTACCATGTGAACAGATCAAGGTAACGAATGACAAAGATTATCACATACAGTTTTTGAGTTTTTAAGTGAAATTCCTGAGCACACAAATAGTAAGGACCCTCATAGAGAACTATATAGCACAAATACTTTTCAAATATATGAATTAATTAACAAATTTACTAAAATTTACAAGATGGCAACATTAAAGAACATTGAATTTAGAGAACATGTAAAGCCAAAAATCTCTCTGTTCCCAGTTTGAAGCTAACAAAGTCCTCAAATACTAGAACCACTTCCAAGAAAATAAAAAAGACAAAAAGTGGGAATATGGATAATTTGAGGTGACAAGATTTTAGTTGCAGGTTGAACTTTACGGATTATGTAAGAAAGTCTTATTCCCTATGGATAAAAAATTAATTCAAATAAGTATAAGCAAAAATGTAAATAACACAATAAACAGAACCAGAATAACAAGAGCTTTGAAAATGAGAACTGATTTTATGGTTCAAATGCTGCAAATGCACAAGACCAGCAACCTTCGATCAAGCATTAAATTCTACAAACAACAAAAGCTTTTATGAAGAGGTACTTAAAGAGTTTGGAAACTAAGTTTTATAGCCAATAACTGCATAAAGTGAACTAACAAGCTCTTAAATCAGGTGTCCGAAGAGCTCAAAATGTAACCACAAACTCATCTTTAGTAAAATTTGGGATGCCATTTCGATCACAATGGTAAAACAACAAATTTCTAGCTTTATGCACTACAAAGTGGCAGTGACCCAAATGAAAAACAACCAAAAAAAAGAAGGCTTTAAAAAGGAAAAAGACTACATGAGAAAGACGGGCTTTGAACATACATTGAGTCCCTGCCGAACACCTCCTCTTGTTAGCTCATAACTTGCTGAAAATCCAACAAAAACAACAGCTTTAACAATGTATATAAACATTTTATTTCCATATCAATACACTTTCAAATTATAGTAGCACAAATTGAAATACAATTTAAACTTGTTGGATAATACACTTTTAACAACTTAATTAATCTCATAAAATATAATTAATCTAACAATCATTAATCAATGCCTTAAAATCTGAATACCTTGAAAACCATAAATTTCACCCAAAAGAAACAAACATACCTCGTCTCTGTAGGGATAAAAATATTCAGGAGTAATTCAATGTATTTGCACTTCATAATTACCTCTCCTAAATCCATACAAAGCATTACCAATGAAACACAAAAATCACATTTTCAAACAGCTTTTCAAGCGAACCACGTTTTAAAACTACAGCTTCATATAGATCCTCACCCCAAATTCCTGAGATCACATTGTATCCACCTGTCGCCTAGAGCCCAGTCAAAAACGACGATTTCCAACTTCTGATCCGCTTGAAGCGTATCGACATCATTTGACACCAATTTCGCCGATAGTTGCCGAACAGATTCGGTAACAACCTGGCAATTAATCTGTGAAATTAAAAAAATTAGCAAATATTAACACAAGTGCTATCAATTTTAATGATTAAGGATTTGAGACGACAAAATGACCTAGACTGCCGGCGGTTGAGCGGCGGGACCGTCGACGGAGAACGGAAGGGAGAGGACATGCGTGATTGATACAGCTCGTTTGAAAATAACTCTAAACTGAGCCACAAAGCCAGATACTAGAGGGACTTGACAGGAGTCAAATCGCTGTTAGCCACCAAGGAAGGTGAGCGGCGCGTAAGTCTGTCCCCTGCTATCACATCCTGCATTTTCTTCATATAAATTTGCACGATTGGATAATATTGTAAAAGTCCTCATATGCATATATCATTTCAATTTTCCTGACCAAAATAATAAGTAGTCCCTTAAATCTATAATTAATATCATATTTAACCATAATCCAAAATTTATACTCATGCCATTGCTCACCTTCAACATCGTCACCCCCACTACAGTCAGTAATCAATTCACAAACTTGAAGTTCTTTATAACCAAAAACTCTGCTTTACTAGACTTGGTCAACCTCGCCAGTCATATATTCATATAGTAGTTAATCTGTGTGTGGTCAAGGAAACCCATCTGAAAATTAGTCTCCCACTTTTTATCTTTATAATTTTTTTTTAATTCTAATTTATCCTCCAAAAATTACTAAATAAGACAAACTAAAAATATAACTACATCTAAGATATAATATTAAATCTGAATTCTAGAAATTGCAAAAATGCTACTTTTCAAAATTTAATTGAGTAAAATCTAAATTATTATTAAGTTGAGAGTAAGCTTGGCAAAACCCTCCAGATAAACTGAAGCGCATTTAGATTCGAACCAAGGTCAGTTTCTTAGGACCCAGGCTTGAGTATATACTCAAGAATAACTCATAAATCGGGTTTTGATTAATTTTAAAATATCAAGGAATAATTCAAAATTTGGAGACGTATTTAATATTTAAATATTAAAATTGTTTTATATAATTTAAAAATGGACTTTTTTAAATATTTGAACAAAGGGGTTTTAAGTAATTTATAAAAAAATAGTGGTGTAAAAAAACTTACCAAACTGACTCTTTCGTTTTCTAAAAAATCCTTATAGCATCAGACTAAACTTACCAAAGCACCAACTCGCCATGATCGAACCCTTTGGTAAACTGGATTGTCTACGGATGAAGACACATCTGAAAGACATGATACTGCTACTAAGTTGCTCTTATCTTTCAACCGGGCCTAATACAAGGTAAGTTTGTTTCCTATCTGGTTTTGTTGTATATCATTTATAATTTTCATAAATTTGTATGTAGATTTAAATAATTATTCATAATGTAGAGTTTTATACGGATTTTTTTCTTCTTTTTTTTTTTCGGTCCAGAGAATAATTTTCTTTAGATAAGTCCAATCATTTTGAAGAATCGCAAAATGAATAACAATCATGTGGGTGCAGGACATTTGTATGTTAAAAGTGATGTGTATGGTTATGCAGCTCCAGTAATTGCTGCAACAGGTATAATACGCCTTCCTAATTGTTTTTTATTCCCAAAAATAAATAAATAAAAATAACATATATTTTTTCGTATGATTATTGAACAATTGATAACAATTTGAATCGAAATTGCCTGGCAGGACATCTATATGTTAGAAGTGATGTGTATGGGTTCTTCGGTGTCTTGCTGGAAATGTTGACAAGATTACGGGCTCTTGACACCAATTGTCCCTTCGGCGAGCACAACTTGGTGGAGTACCCAAAGCCATCTCTTTTGGAAAAAAGAAAACTGAAGAAGATAATGGACCAGAGGCTAGAGGGGCAATACCTTGCAAAAGCGTGTCCAAAGCTGGTGAGCTTATAGTAAAATATCTAGAATCTGACCCCAAAAGTCTCCCTTCCATGAATCAAGTCCCGGAAACTTTATAAAAAATCAGTGCCATTGAGGCAGACCCTAAAAGGGTTAGAGCCAAAGCCAAACGCAATTCTCCAAAGCACCGAGAAGAGTCGACTTCTTCTGATTATTCATAATTGATAGCCAAGGATACACTTGTAGGCAGTTCAATCCAAATTGCGCTCAGACTGATTTCCGACTTCCACTTTTATCCTCTGCTCCAGATTTATATAAGTAAATATCTGTCTCTTTCTCTCAAATACTATTACGCTGGTGTGGAATGTAATTGCATGAAGACAACATACTACATTGACAACACTTGTGATTGTAGCTGACTTTGAAAGATCGTTGATGAGATTTATTCCTCACAGTATGGAATATAATAACTATATTAACACGCCATGTTTGAACCTTTTGTAAATTATATGCAATGCAAAGATATGATTCTCATTCTCCTACTGAGTTGCTTTTATCTTTTCCAAGTTGGATCTACTATAATATCTTTTTTTTTTATCCGTGAGTTTGTGGAAAAGTCCCATCTTGTTTGATTTTAGGGATTTTAGGAAGGCCGTCCGATGAACAGTTTCAAGCCATCCCATGAATAAACAGTTTTATCAACACCGGTAGAGTCAGACTCGCATGATTAACATCTCTATCTTGGTTAGCATCCTTTTCTTTTTAGAAAAACCTCTCCCACAATTGATGTCAGACCATAACCTACTGAGTGGCTCTTATCTGTGATTTTCTGCCTTCCACCACCTTGGCTCTACCCTGAATGCAAGCCATCGGTTGTTTTATGTTTAAGTTATCATTTATTGTGTTGTATCCGTAATAAATGCTACATGATATTGTAAGCATGGAAATTGTTGATTGTACAACAGAATATACAGACCTTTTGTGAATAAATTTGAATATTCTTTTCCAAGTGCAAGTGCTTATAAGAATTTTATTCATCATTGCTCGTTTGTAAGTTTAGATTTAGTTTGCTCTGTTCTTTATTGTCCTTAGTCACTGCATAATTACCTTCATGATGCTCATTTTTCTTTACAATTCAAAGCTTTAGCCATTTGTGCAAAACAATCTTACTGGTTATAGTCCATTTATGTTGTGCTGGACAGTAAAAGTATATCCTCAAGTTTAAGAGTTATGTAGTTTCGAATCATATATTAGGGAATAGTTCTGAATTCCATCATCACTTTTCTCTCAACCAAATTCATTATCACAAGGTGCTTCTTCTTCTTCTTTTTTTTTTTAAATAAATTTAATAATAAATTAGAAGACACAAGTCCTTTAAAATAATTTTGAAAATTTGTCCCAAATCTGAAAAGCCGACTATTGGAATTTTCCTTTCTGATACTTAATGTACGTAAAACACAAGTCATTTACTTTCTCTTGTTCCTCCCTTCTTAATTTGCAGAACACTACCATCTACCATCTTCACACTTAGTATAATCACCATTCCAGTCCTTGCCCTTATATGTGATTTAATTATGTGTAATATTTGCACAAGAACTTTCATATAAGTTTGCGTTAGCTTCAATACTTTGAGCGGAATATGCTTGAAGAGCTTTTTGGCATCAATTTGAAGAGTTCAACATCTTACTGGAGCTGCATCACCATACACATCACTTTTCTCTCAACCAAATTCATTATCACGGGGTGCTTCTTCTTCTTTTTATTTGTTTAAAAAATAAATTTAATAATAAATTAGAATACACAAGTCCTTCAAAATAAATTTGAAAAGTTGTCCCAAATCTGGAAAGCCAGCTACTTGAATTTTCCTTTCTGATACTTAATATAGGTAAAACACGCTTTCTGCCTTCTTCACTTGCAGAGCACTACCATCTTCACACTTAATATAATCACTATTCCAGTCCTTGCCAAAAATCTGGCCTGATTTAGGCACCATTGGACCTCCCTGACACCACCATCAGCATACCCTTATCCTCCTCATCAAAACTCTTAACTTTTCCATTTGATTGCACCTCTGTGAGGTGCCAGAATTTGGCTGGAAAGGCATGAAAAATTGCAAAAACCTTAGGGAGAGGCAGAGGGGATCTACGAGTAATTGTGGTCAGTGATGTTGGGTTTTTGATGGGGGGAAGCTGGTGATACTATTGGTGGTGTTGGGGGTGGTTTTCGGTGCCGGGATTTGCCAAACTTTGGATGATATGCTGATTGAAACTAAGACTAGCGATTGACGATTATGGGGTTCAATAAGGCAAGGAGGTTAGTGGTTTTGATGTGAGGGTTGAGAGGATTGTAATAGTGGTGTTAGGAGGGGTCGACTGTGCCAAGAACAGGCAAAAATGGCTTAAAATCACTAGTGGGGTGAATTTGAGAAGTTAAGGGTTATTTTAAAATTTTCATCTTTGAAATGACCATTTTACCCTTTTAACAATTAGATTAAACAATTTTCTGTTAATTTAAAGGTGAAAGTCTGTAATTTATGAAACCATGGGTGGGAACTTGCAGATTCGCCAAACCTTTGATGGGAAAAAGTCGTTTACTNCAGATGGTTGCAGTAGGCCAATTTGCCAACTCTGTGGTAATGTGGTGCTACCACAGGTTTGATATCAGTTTTTCAAGGATCTGTTTCGAGTCCAAATTCACACTCCAATGCTTCCAACTCTCAAATGGTTTAGTCATTGCATTACCACCACCATCTTTTCAGCCGCAAACAGCACCATCTCAAGCTTATATAGATTCACTAGCTACTGTCGATGATAGATCCTGGTATCTTGATAGCAGAGCTTCTGAACATATTACCTTGCAAATGAGTCATCTTTCAGTTCGTTCTGATTACAAGGGTGCTGAGCAGTTCTCAGTAGGTAACGGTCAACTTTTATCCATTCTACATATTGGCTTAGCTTATTTGAGTTGTTCTTCTAATCAATATTTGACTTTAAAGAGAGTATTTCATGTGCCTGAAATTACAAAAAAAATTAATTAGTATTTCTCAGCTCTTAGCTGATAATCCTATGTATATTTAGTTTACTGATCAACATTATCTTATAAAGGACAAGAACACAAAGATTCTCCTTCTTCAAGGAATTATTAGGGGAGGATTCTATTGCTTAGTTCAAACTGACTGCTGCCAGCCCACTGCCACTCATTTCTCTTCGGTTCCACATAATATTAGCATTCCCATGGTAAATTTGGTGTATTTTATTAATGCTATGAAGCATAATAATATTGCTATTGTACGGCTGTTGCTCCTGAGCATTTAATTTCTGATAATTTCTAACAACGTTGGCTGCTTAGTGTCAGAGATTAGTACTTGTATTGTATCTTAGAGAGCTATTACTTGTAATCTTTATGAGAAAATTAATAAAAAATTTGATTTGTAGCATCAGAGGCTTGGACATCCACATGCTTCTGTGTTGAATACTTTTATCTCTAAATTATTTTCTCACGGATTATCTTCACTGATTTCTTCTTGATCTTTTTGCTTATCCTGTTGCTTTGGTAAACAACATCAACAACCTTTTCCTGTCTTTTTTATTAAGGTTTCTACCTCTCTTTGAGTTGATACACTCCAATGTNTAAAGAGCTTTTGTGGAACTACTCA